CCCAAAAGCTAGGTGCGTCTTATAGTCCGAAAAATACGGTATACACAGGGACAAGCACAAATGCACAGAAATGAAGAGCATACTTAAAACAAAAAGCTAGCCATAGTCTGGATTCAATATTTATTTTTGTTCTCCATAACATCTCGTCTAGACCACTGAAGGGAGTCCTTGACTTGTGACCATTTGCTTAGTGACTGTTTATAAAGTTACAGCAGCACTGAAAAAAGTGACTTATCACCATTTTTCACACTTGCGACCATTGCTGCATCCCCATGGTCATGCGATCAAAATTCAGATGCTTGGCAACTGGCGTGTATTTATGACAGTCCTGGGGTCACGTGATCATCTTTTGTGACTTTCTGATGAGCAAAGTCAATGGGGAAAGCAGATTCACTTAACGACCATGTTATTAACTTAACAATGGCAGTGATTCATTTAACAACTCACTAGCAGCAGGAATTTTGGGCTTAATTGTAATTGTAAATTGAGGACTACCTATACAAACTAGGACCACTCAACACAGCCGCATGTCAACGACTACTAATAACTCTCAACCAATCAAATTAGCCCTTTGCTGCATTCCTTGACTAAGGGGAACATTCTCAAAGTCTTCATAAGCTTTTTTTCTAGAAACCTCTGCTTCTATTTTGGTTTAAATCAAAGCCCAACCCTTTCAATTCACAAGGACTCTGTAAAAAGAGACACATCACACTGTGGCTTCAATTAATATTCCCTTGATATGTTTTTGTAAGAGCATTTTAGGCATCAAGAAGTGATCTTATCGCACTAGTAACTCACCTTTCCTGCTACATTGCCCACATCATTTTTAAATAGCATTCAATAGGCCCGTGATGGCAAACCTGTGGTAACCATGCCACAAGTGGCACGCAGACAAACTTACCCCACTGCACACGAGCACGCCTCCCAACTGATATTTTTTCAGTTGGTTTGAGTCCTTTTTCGGCCTCCCAGAGGCTTGGAAAAAGCCTCTGTAAGGCTTTTCAGGACGAATTATAGGCCCGTTTCATCACTTCCTGTAATACCGGAAGTGACAAAACGGGCCTATAATTCGGCCTGAAAAGCCTTGCAGAGGCTTTTTCTAAGCCTCTGGGAGGTCAGAAAAGGCTTCAAACAAGCCGAAAAATCAGCTGTGAGGTGCAGTGCAGGTAAAGGGGGGGGGGAATTGCACATGCATGTGCAGGAAGGCTGTGCATTGCATTCTGGATGCTGGCGCACGTGCAATTTTTGGCACAGGAACCCAAAAGGTTAGCCAGGTTATTAAAAAAAGCAGCTTTAGAAGCATTGTGCATTCCATTTTTCAGTGAAGTGTACCACTTCCAGGTGCTTTCTGGACACAGCTCGTGGGGTTGTTATAATTTTTATACCTGTCAGTTAGGGTTCAACAATTTCAAGGGAGTGCTTTTCCTCTCCATTCTCTTCCATATTCTCCTGAATTCCACAATGTCTATAACTAGGATGTTCTTCGGAAGTTAAAATTAGCTCAACTCCCTTCAAGTCTTAGCAACAATTTTAACCCAACAAATCCTGCACAATACCTGACACTGCCTACAAAATGAAAACAAGCAGCCCAGAAATCTCTTCTTAAAAATAGTGTCTTGGAATATTCGCTGATACAAAAGAAAATATATCTTGGAACTAAAATGATGGGAATAACAACTTCACAGAAACAATCATTGTGAGGTACTTCCTTGGCATAGAAACTTTTTAAAATTCCCAGGAAGACTGCTTAAGAGCTGGCCAAATTCTTTTCTTACACGAAAGCTTCTCTGGAGCCTTTGAAGACTTATAATAATAAATGTTTGCTGTTAATTGGGTGTTTTTACTAGCTGTTAGGCAGAAATGTATAATCATCTATTAATTCTGAGCAGGATGAGCTGGTTGCTGCAAAAAAAAACAATCTAGAAAAGCCAGTTTTATCTGCTGGCAGCAATGCTGACTAAAATTACTCTTAAATGGATATATTAATTTCTCTATTTAGGACAACTCAGAAGATGTCATGCCTTCTACACAAGCTGCTTGTATTTATTTCATAGGAAAGTCTGCTGGTTAAGACTCAGAAAAACTGCTGTATCAGAAGAAGAGCTCTAATTAAGAAGAGACTGGACAATCACTTGTCTGAAATGATATCGCATCTCCTGCTTGAGCAGGGGGTTGGACTAGAAGACCTCCAAGGTCCCTTCCAGCTCTATTCTGATTGATTGATTTAATAACTAAGTTCTTTGACTGCAGTGAACTGAAATGCTTCTTATTTTAAAAGACATCCTGGTACAAAGAATAATGTTGCTGAACTGGAAAAAAACCTCTAAGGGGAAAAAGATATAACTGGGGATTTTTCTTTTAGTTTGCATTGGAAAAATTTTGCAATTTGGTAAATGCACTTCATGACTGACTTGAAATGTAATATGTTTTGCACGCACCCGCAAAAACTGGAAGTTTCCTTTCCTCACACCACTGGATGTAGGAACATTCAATTACCCCTTGCATTTAGGTCATTTCATTGCAAAAGCAATACAGAATTACTTGCAAAAAGTTTGCCTCACCTCTCTTCCCTTAACTGATATGCTATCGAAGGATAGAGTAAGCACTATTTCATATTCTATGGCAAAAGTATACGAAAACACTAATGTCAGATATGAGTCAACAGAAAGATCAGAACAAATATAGCTAGTCCTTGACTTACGGCCCGTCACTTAGTGACTGTTTGAAGTTCTAACAGATCTACTGGGGGTTACTTATGATCTGGATTTGACGTTCAGATGGGTTGCTGCCCTCCGGTCACATTACTACACTTTGAGCATTTGGCAATTGGGCTACATTTACAAACATTTACAGTCCTGTGGGCATATGACCACAATTTATTTAAGTTTTGTCAAAAGTTACATCTGGTTTCTGGCAAAACCAGGTCCACAAAGGTTGCTAAGCACCACAAAAGGTTTGTGTGTGCGCAGCTATCGGAACTGGATCATAAATAGTTGGAACTTTGGACCAGTCACTAAGCAAGGACTACCTGTATGGCACGAAAGAGATTGGAAAACCAGTTTTGGAATCCTACTTAGATCAGGTACAAAGTACTTTTTCAGTGCCTTGAATATATAGGGACCTCTTATCTATTTAGTTCAATACTGTCCCTTTCAACTGGTAGAAATCTTACAAGATCCAAAATATCCCAAATGAAACTGCCAGTCTTGTCTTCAAAACATCCAAAGACTTAGCCAGATTTAAAACAGAAAACTCAAATTTGTTTCGTTTGGCATAGGTTGTATTCAAGTAACTAGCTAAATCCCAAAGGTGCTTTTATTCAAGAGGCAACTGGACTTCCTTTGATATTCTTTGAAGATGTTTCGCTTCTCATCCAAGAAGCTTCTACAGCTGTGACTGGATGGTGGGGAACGGAGAGCTGATATGTCCATTCCCCACCATCCAGTCAGAACTGAAGACGCTTCTTGGGATGAGAAGTAAAACATCTTCAATGAAAAACCAGAAGGTCCAGTTGCCTCTTGAAAAAGCACCTTTGGGACAACCATGACTTGGATGACTGAGAATCTCTGTCATAGACATTAATCAGCTGAGTAAATCCTTTTTTCCCCCCTGCCTTCAAGTCAGTCTTGACTATTGGCAATTGTGTGATTTGAAATACAGCAACTGCTCAAGGTCACCCAGCTGGATTTCATGCCTGAGGCAGGAACCAGAATTCATGGCCTCCTTAGTTCTATCCTGGTGCCTATAACCACTATAATGAATTGGCACTCAAAGCCATATTTTTATCAAGGTTTATTAAATAAATGCTAGGTATATACCAGTTGTCAAAGTCAAACCATATTATGGCTTATTGCCACAGAATTTAACAGTGTCACACTTAGTCAAGCAAACCAGCTATCGTTTTCCATACAAAAAATATATTGTTGCTTTAGCAGTTGGCTTCCTGCCACATAATTAGACAAATGGTGTTCATAGTAAATTGAAAGGCAGTTATCAAAAGCATAGACATTTGCAAGAAAACCCATATGAACTATAAAAATGACATTTCATTCAGTAGAGAGGTAATTGGCATGACAGTGGCCCAGCTGAATAAAATAAAGGTTTTTTTCATACTTTAACTCAGATATGCAGCATCAAAGTCTTTATTAAATTTATAGAAGAGAATATCCATAGTTTAGGATTGAACTAGGAATTCTTGGTGTTCTCAGAGTTTGGTTGTTGTTTTTTTGCAGGCATTTCATTACCAAACTAGGTAACAACATCAGTGCTAAAAGGAAGTGTGGTTTGCTCTCATTTCATAAACTAGAATATTTGTAGTTCAGGACTGAACTGCGGGGTCCTTGGTGCTCTCTAAATTTTCATAATATTAAGGTTACTGCTTCTGTAAGATGTTCACAAGTTATCAGACTATTTTGGGTTCCAATTCAAATATAATATGAAATGGTAGAGGGTCTCCTGCTTGAGTGGGAGGGGGAGATTGGACAACAAGACTTCCAAGGTCTCTTCCAACCCTGTTACTTTGTATAACCTTTGATGAGTGCCAGAATACCTTAGGAGAGCATGACAAGGACAAAAAAGAACTGAAAAATAGAAGTATCCAGATCTGTCAAGCTGTTGCCCTCCGAATAGGTTGGACTACAGCTCCCATCATTCTCACACAGCCTGGTCCTGCCTGGCCGCGAAAAGCTCTGAATGCAGAAAATAAAAACATCCAAATCTGTCAAGCTGCTGCCTTCCAAACCGGTTGGACTACAGCTCCCATCATCCTCACACAGCCTGGTCCTGCCTGGCCACGAGCTCTGTGGCTGAACGCAGCTGGGCTTTGTCAGGCGCGACATCTGGAGTCCTCCAGATGCGAGACCACAAAATTCTCAACCCACTGCCCGGGGCCATGCTGGCAGGGGATGATGGGAGTCGAAGTCCTGAGCAAGGAAGCCTGCAGGCTACCGAGTGAAGAGGGACTCCGGGGCCACGAGGGAGGGAGGGAGGCACTCGCTCACCCGAGGCCGGTCCTTGGAAATGGGGAAGAAGCGGCGGTTGAAGCTGTCGGCGATCAACACGGCCTGCAGCGGAGGCGGAGGCTCCTCTTGGGGGTCCGACCCACGCGAGCCCCCGGACCCGGCACCACGCTTCCCAACAGGACCGCGGGCCGCCATGCTGCCTCGCGCTCCCCTCCCACGCTTTGGGCCCCGCCTCTTCCGCTTCCTGAAGAACTGGGGGGGGGAAGAAGAGACGGTGTCTCGCAGAGGTCAAAAGGCCTTGAAACACAAACGCGGCCGCTGAATGCGAAAGCAGGGTGGGGGAAGCGTTGATTCTCCTCAGCGGGGACTGGAGTTGTCAGAAGTTAAAATGAATAGCATTTTCAGCAACAACAAAAAAAAACGCCTAAAGAACTTAGAATAACTTTACTGACACTTTAAATGTACACTAATCGGCATGCAGCAAAATGAAATTTCGTTGCCTACAGCTCTCAAAGGGTCGCCACCTCCAATATTTATTTATTTATTTGATTTATATTGCTGCCTATTCGCCCATGGCGACTCAAGGCGGCTTACACAATGTAAAATCATATTTAAAACAAAAAATAAAAACAATAAGAACTTACAAAAAGAATCAAATAAATTAGTAAAGTACAATGGAACAAAATTTGGGAAAACAAAAAACAAAACAAAAACCAACTCCCACCCCACCCACCCCACGACATATATACACCACATAAACATGACTAAATAAATAAACGAATGAATACAAAATTATGCATATACCTGTTGTCTCAGTTCAGGTCTGAGCCTGGTGCCGAAGCCAATGATAGATGCCAGACACAAGGTGCTGGTTTTCCGTTTGCTTTTTATTGGAGTTCTCCAAGGAAAAGGACTCCTGGTCAAAATGCCAAGAACCCAGAACAAAGGATTGAGTAAATTTTATACATTTTCACTAAAGGAGAAGGTGGGACAAAACAAGATAATAAGAAATATCATCTAATAAACATTTTAGTAATCATTCTACAATTTGTTCTATTGGCCTCTAGCTGTTCCTACTCCCAAGTCTTAGCTAATGCTAGGAGTTATCTAATACACATTTGATTTGCTGCAGGCTATCTCTATCCCTAACTGTTAGCTGAGGTCTGCAAGTTGGCTAACTCAAGTTACTTTTATCAGCTTTCCAATTAGCCAGGATTGTTACAAGATTTACACACGCATATCCTCCTGTGGATAAGCATTCTTTGTTCTTGCCAGACAGACTCCACAATTACAGGCTTCCTGATTTACTTTGAAGTGTGTGCCATGACCTGGTTTTATTTTAGCACAGTTAAAATAATGGGGGTCAAACAACCCTTTCACACATATTTTCAATGGTCTTAGGAACCGAGACACCACCCCTCTATCCGTCTCCAGGTGGGTCCGCCCACATGCAGATATGCCCACATATGAGTACCCGGCATGATGACATCATTGCACCAACCCCATCACATGCACCCCGTACATATGCAGGTGTACGTGACAGGAATGGCATCATAATGTACTTATACAGACCAGTCACACATGTGTAGAGAGCAGCTACTATGTAGGAAGCAGCTGCTGTGTTGAAAGCAGCTACTCTGTTAAAAGCAGCTACTGTGTTGAAAGCAGCAGTATTGGAGGTAAAACGACACTTCATGAATTATAATTACTGGGTAAATGTAAAATCATGTACTGTAAAATCATCAACTACTGCAAAAAAAAAATCTCTACCATGGAAACTTAATCTGGATGCTGATTGGTCTTTTTATATTCAGCTGTGGTTGATTTGAATACTGCCCCTTGTGATAATAACAGGTATGTAAAAAAAACAACACAGAGAATGGTAAATCATAGGAAACTTTAATGAACGATATTAACTGAACTATGCCATATATCATCTTTTGTATTATTAAAGCTATTGTTATATATTATTTACATTACGATTCACAACAGTAGCAAAATTACAGTTATGAAGTAGCAACGAAAATAATTTTATGGTTGGGGGTCACCACAACATGAGGAAGGTTGAGAACCACTGTTTTAGCAGATGGCCCATCGTACCCACATATATTACGATATATGACACAGAGAAACAACACAGTCTACTTTGGATGTATATATGTACATGGCGAGTCCACAACTCTTAGGTTGCGAAGTTTGAAAAATACTGATCTAAACATACACACACAGAGACATAGACACAGACACACGTGTGTACAGGTTGTCCTGTACAAAACTTCATTGAGAAACTGTTTGAAGTTACAACAGCCCTGAAGAAAAGTGACTTATGACTGTTTTTCCCACTTAATGACCATTGTAGCATTCCCAATTGTCACATGATCAACATTCAGATCCTTGGCAACTAACTCATGTTTATGACGGCTGTGGTGTCCCGAATGATCACCTTTTGCAACCTTTTTGACAAGCCAAGTCAGTGGGGAAGCCAGATCCATGTTTCTAATTTAACAATGGCGATGATTCACTTAACATCTGTGGCAAGAAAGGTCATAAAATGCAACAACATTCTCTTAACAACTGTCTCACTTAGCAACAGAAATGTTGGGCTCAGTTGTGGTTGTATGTCAAGGACTATCTGTATTTCTATGTATGTATTTATATCTTTCTACATAAAAGCGAAATACCACTCAGGCATCATCACAAAATCTCCAGAACCGTAAAGCCTACAAACTTGAAATTTGGTGCGTATGCTCCTCTTGGCTTCTAGGGGCTCACTAAGAAAGGATTTTTCGAATTGACCATCAGAACTATTAGTATTTTGTGTATTATTATTATTAACACGCTCTGATGCTAAGGAGTTCTACTCCCCCGCCCCACCTGAAAAGAAATATGTTCTAAATGCAAAACACAAGCAGAGGAGTTTCCATTTCAGTTTCAGAGCACCAAGCAGCTTTAGTACAGAACAGTTGAGCTAAGTCACGCCCAGTCTCCTTGCTGTTTCCTTCTTGCTCACACAGCAGTTTCCAAACAGCCCTCAACTTTCTCACACACTGACAGGAGGCTAACCAGATGAATATCGATGGATGCTGGTAGGCTGAGGCAGAATTTTTTTTTCTTACTTTCTTCCCCAAGAACTAAGCCTGGTCACATAGTTTCATAGTGAAGCACAGGTATAGAGCTAGTATGTATGTATATGTGTATCTCCATAGACAGCCCTTGGATATGCAGAGTGGGTTCTTTACTACAGCCAATCCCTCCAGATACTGGCTGCATTTACATGATAAACCAGTCCTATTGCTCCATGAACTGGCAACTAAACCCCCTAATTTATCTTTTTTCAACTACACACAAATCTATAATTTTGAAGCACGTTGTGCTCTCTAAATGTGAAATGGCACCCACCTGGAGATTCCTGCAATTGGGGCAAATTTTGGAGGTTGGAGGTTATAGATCCTGGTTTCAAACTCTTGCTCCCCCATGGTTTCTTTGGGTTCAGCCAATAAAACATAAGGTTTGGTGAAAGGACCACACAGGATAATTGCAACGATGCTTTTTAACGTGCTGTGTAAAAGCCAACATCAAGGAGGAGATGTCCTGTGAGCTAGGAGAAGCAATTAAACTCAGACAGGATTCCACATGCTCAATAGGTATAATTCTTTTGAGGCCAATGGTTGCTGCTGGCTGAAACATTCTTGCTCCAGCTGTTTCCCAGACAACAGCTCTTTGAATTTCCAGACAGCCGTGAAAAGACAGACCAATGGCTCTGTAAGGGAACAAACTTAACCCAGAACATCCTACAGTTACACATAAAAGGTAAAGAACAATTAACCAGTGGAACGGCTTGCCTTCAGAAGTTGTGGATGCTCCATCATTGGAAGCTTTTAAGTAGACCATTTGTCTGAAATGGAATAGGGTCTCTTGCTTGAGCAGAGGGTTGGAGTAGAAGCAGGGGTGGGATTCCACCAGTTCACACCTATTCGCTAGAACCGGTTGTTAACATTCTAAGCAGTTTGGAAAACCGGTTGTTAGAAGAAATTACTGGTCTAATCCTGTAAGGAAGGCAGGAAGGAAACATTCTGGTGTTGTTTACAGAAACTGCCTCTCCGTTAACCCTTATTACATTCTTGGCAGGACTAGACTTCCTGTCTCAGGAACTTCTCTGGAGGTTTTTTTCCCCTCCTTTGCTGGTACTTTGCTTGTGTGGAGGAACCATTCAAAGTTACAATGGAACTGAAAAAAGTGACTTATGACCATTTTTCACACTTACAACTGTTGCAGCCACGAGAGGCCAGGCGAGGAGATGCATGCCTCGATATAGTGATATTGAGTTGGCCACACCCAGCCAATAACATGACCACCAAGCCACGCCCACCAACTAAGCCACACCCACAGAACCAGTTGTTAAAAAATTTGAATCCCACCCCTGAGTAGAAGACACTAAGATCCCTTCCAACTCTGCTATTCTGTTCTGTTCTATACCATTCCACTCCACTCCATTTCTATTCCACCCTACTCCTTTCCTGTCCACTCCGTTCCATTCCATTCAATGGTGGGATTCAAAAAATTTTACTACCGTATCTGTGGGCGTGGCTTGGAGGGCATGACATAGCTTGGTGGGCATGGCATGGCTTGGTGAGCGTGGCAAGGAAAGGCTACTGCAAAATCCCCATTCCTTCCCCACCCCCTAACCTGCTTTCCAGTTCCGTTCTCCTGTGCAGGGAAACCAAAGAAGACCCAGCCGAGCAGCTGGGACTCGGGAGGCGGGGAATAGATAGGGGTGGGGCCAGTCAGAGGCGGGATTTGCCAGTTCTCCGAACTACTCAAAATTTCCACTACTGGTTCTCCAGAACTGGTCAGAACTTGCTGAATACCACCTCTGGTTCCATTCCATTATATTCTCCCTCTTTCAAATCAAACTTGACTTCATGGAGACATCAATGCAGGGTTTTCAACAACAGTGATTTACTGCAGCCTTCTTCTGGAATTTTTTTCTCTGTTGAGCCAAAAGCCCTAGATTTACCAGACAAGGTCAGCCAGCATTTTTATACAGGTAGTCCTCAACTTTGGAGCAAAATTGAGCCGAAAAATGCTGTTGCTCTACAGTTGTTAAATTAGTAACAGGGTTATTTAAGCGGTTCTGATGTTCAACAAATGTCTCACTTAGCAACCAAAATCGGGGACTCAATTCTGGTCGTAAGCTGAGGACTACCTGTATGCTGTTCCTA